AAGCAATTCTCCTGCCTCAGCCTCCTGAGTAGCTGGGACAACAGGTGTGTGCCACCACGCCCGGCTGATTTTTTTTGTGTGGTTTTAGTAGATACGGGGTTTCCCTATGTTGGCCAGGCTGGTCTCAAACCCCTGACCGCAGATGATCCGCCCGCCTCAGCCTCCCAAAGTCCTGGGATTATAGGTGTGCGCCACCGAGCCCAGTCTCCTTTTTTTTTTTTTTTTTTTTTTTGAGACAGAGTCTTGCTCTGTCGCCCAGGCTGGAGTGCAGTGGTATAATCTCGGCTCACTGCAACCTCCGCCTCCTGGGTTTCAAGCGATTCTTCTGCCTCAGCCTCCCAAGTAGCTGGGTTATAGGCACCCACCACTGCCTGGCTAATTTTTGTATTTTTAGTAGAGATGGGGTTTTGCCATGTTAGCCAGGCTGGTCTCAAACTCCTGACCTCAGGTGATCCGCCCGCCTCAGCCTCCCAAAGTGCTGGGATTGCAGGCGTGAGCCACTGTGCTCGGCCCCATCTGCTTTCTGTCTGCGGATTTGCCTGTTCTGGGCATTTCAGGTAAACAGGATCTCACACTCCATGGCTTTTGTGTTGAGGTCTGTCCACACTATGGCTTGTTCAGGGGCCCCCTTCCTTCCTATGGCTGAAGAATATGGCCTCAGTTTCCTCTCGGAGCAGGGTGAGGATCAGGTGGGCCATTCAGGAGGCCCTGGGGAGTGGGCTGGCCCAACGTAGGATGCCCAGCAGAGCCTCCATTTTGGGGCTGATGGTAACTGGGGCAGATGGTAACTGGGGCTGATGGTGACTGGGATCTGATAGTAACCAGGGCTGATGGTAACTGGGGCTGATGGTAACCTGGGCAGATGGTAACTGGGGCTGATGGTAACCGGGGCTGATGGTAACTGGGGCTGATGGTAACCGGGACTGATGGTAACCTGGGTGGGTGGTAACTGGGGCAGATGATAACCAGGGCGGATGGTAACTGGGGCTAATGGTAACCAGGGCTGATGGTAACCCGGATCTATTGGTAACCGGGATCTGATAGTAACCAGGGCTGATGGTACTGGGGCTGATGGTAACTGGGATCTGATAGTAACCGGGGCAGGTGGTAACCAGGGCAGATGATAACCAGGGTGGATGGTGACCAGGGCGAATGGTAACCGGGATCATGAAGCACTCCTTGACGTTATACACAGTCCTCAGCAAGGAGAACACGGGGTCCGGGAGGGGGACACCTGGAAGCCAGAAGGCTTCCCAAGGAAGTCACCTCCCTGCCGAATAGGACAGAAATAAGAAAGAAGCCCGTTCCAGGCTCAGGGAACAGCAGACGCAGAGACCTGGAGGTGGAAAGAAGGTTGGCAAGGTGCCCCAGGCCCTGCAAGGCTCTGTGTGCAAGGACCTGGACGCCAGCTGGAGACACTGAGAGGAGTCCTCAGGCCTGACCCAGCACCCCTCTGCCACCCCCAGAAAATGGCGGCTGCCAGGCCCATCCTGGGCCGAGTCCTTCCAGGATCCTCTATCCTGTTCCTGTGTGACATGCAGGAGAAGTTCCGCCACAACATCGCCTACTTCCCACAGATCGTCTCAGTGGCAGCCCGCATGCTCAGGGTATGACCTCAGCCCTCCACCCTCAGACCCAGGATCCAGGCTCAGCCCCCTACCCTCAGACCCAGGATCCAGGCTCAGCCCCCTACCCTCAGACCCAGCATCCAGGCTCAGCACCCCCCTCAGACCCAGGATCCAGGCCCAGCACTCCCACCCTCAGACCCAGGATCCAGGCTCAGCCCTCCACCCTCAGACCCAGGATCCAGGCTCAGCCCTCTACCCTCAGACCCAGGAGTCCAGGCCCAACTCTTCCTCCTTCAGACCCAGGAGTCCAGGCCCAACTCTTCCTCCCTCAGAAGCAGGAGTCCAGGCCCTCTTCCTCTTCCCTCAGACCCAGGAGTCCAGGCATAACCCCTCTTCCCCCAGACCCAGGAGTCCAGGCCCAGCTCCTCCTCCCTCAGACCCAGGAGTCCAGGCCCAGCCCCTTCTCCCTCAGATCCAGGAGTCCAGGCCCAGCTCCTCTTCCCTCAGACCCTGACCTTTCTTCCCCATCACTGGCACAGGTGGCCCGGCTGCTGGAGGTGCCAGTCTTGCTGACGGAACAGTACCCACAAGGCCTGGGCCCCACGGTGCCTGAGCTGGGGGCTGAGGGCCTTCGGCCGCTCACCAAGACATGCTTCAGCATGGTGCCGGCCCTGCAGCAGGAGCTGGACAGCCGGCCCCAGCTGCGTTCTGTGCTGCTCTGTGGCATTGAGGCACAGGCCTGCATCTTGGTGAGATGCTGACTGACCCCAGGGGTCCCTCATTCTCACCTGGGACCCCCATCCTAAATAGAACCTCCTTCCCTGACTGGAAACCTCCACTTCCCTGTCGGATCCCCACCCTGACCTGGGCCCTCTCTTCTCACATGAGGGCCCCATCCTATCTTGGATCCCCTTCTGACCTGGGGGCCCCCTGCTCTGATCCAAGCTTCCCTCCTCCCCATTCTGGGCCCCTAATTCTGACTCAGCATCCCCAGTTCCTTACCCAGGACCCCTGTTCTTATCCGGGATTGGCCCTGACCTCTCTCTACCCACAGAACACAACCCTGGACCTCCTGGACCGGGGGCTGCAGGTCCACGTGGTGGTGGACGCCTGCTCCTCACGCAGGTGAGAGTGCCCTCCCTGGGTGGGTGCACTTGGGGGCCATCAGGGGTTCCCAGGAAGGGCCACAGGCGGCATTCCCATTCCCACCAGGGTGCCAGCGTGTCTGGGTGTCTAGGCCATGGCATCCACACCAACCTTCCCTCCCTCCCTCCTATTCACAGCCAGGTGGACCGGCTGGTGGCGCTGGCCCGCATGAGACAGAGTGGTGCCTTCCTCTCCACCAGCGAAGGGCTCATTCTGCAGCTGGTGGGTGATGCCGCCCACCCACAGTTCAAGGAGGTAATGCCCTCGCGGCCGCCCCCACCTCCCCTGCATGTGACAAAGGTCTTGTCTTTGGGCTCTGGGAACACATCCCGGCACCAGCAGGCTGCCGCCTCCAGGGGGCGCCAGGTTCTTGGAGGGGAGGCTGCTGGTCACTGTCACCACCATAAATCCATGAAAGGAGCCGGCAGATGGACCACAAGGACCACAGAGAGCGATGAAATGGGGGAGGCGATCCAGAGGGTCAGGGCACAGAGGAGGGAGTTCGTATTGGAGGGTCTAGGGGGCATCCTGGAGCAGGTGACTTTAGAATGAACTGAAGGAGAGAAGGACCAGGCAGACACTGGGCAAGAACAGGTCTGCAGAGACTCTGTAGATAGAAGCCCCTTGACCTGTCCACACCCATCCCCAACTCTCCATCTCCTCCACCTCTGCCCCTTCCGGCCTGGGCGCCCCTCCTCCAGTTTCTCAGACTCCACACCCACCCCCAGAGTGGCCGCCCTGCTACCAGGGTCAGCCAGGTACTGGGACCCCCTGCTTCAAGCCCTTGGCCCTCAGGATGCTGGAGAGGCCCCAGACCTTGACATTCCCAGGCCCTCCCAGGTCTGCTCCTTGCCTTCCTTCTAGTTCAGCTCTGTGAAACATTCACTGAGCACCTACTCCATGCCAGCCACTGTGGTGAGCCCTGGAGTCTGCATCCATCCATGTTCAATCACACATCGTGTCCCCCAGCTGGGGCGGGAGTTGCAGAGGGATGAGTGAGAGTGGCAGGGGTGGCCCTGAATTCTGACCTGCAGGGGAAGGGAGCATCAGGCACTCAGTGTTCCCAAGGGAGGGGGACTGAGCTTTCTTTGTCCAAAGAGCTGTAGCAGGCCACTGTGAGCACTGGGCAGGAGGAGCCAGCACCCTGTCTTCACACAGGAGCCAGAGCCCAAAGGTTTGGGATTTCAGCCATGGGCAGCCATCAGGGTTTGGTGCAGGGGAGCTGCCCATATCAGATTGGCAGTTTACAAAGTTCTTTCTGGCACTGTGTGACCAATGGGTTAGGGAGTGTGGCATAGAGGGGAGGAGGGAGACCTGTCAGTAAGGAGGTTAATTTGGGCACCCAGGCAAGCGGTGATGAGGCACTGGGGATGCAGGCTTTTTTTTTTTCTTTATTATTATTATTTTTATTTTCTGGAGGTAAACTTGCTGGGACTTGCTGATGGATGAAATGCGGTTGGTTGCTCATGTCTATCTAAGAGGCAGTTGGATAGATAAGTCTGGAGTTCAGGGGCAAAGTCCAGGCTGGATTTGGAAGTTGAGGGCCCAGAAGAGGGATAGGAGAGATGAGGTTACTTAAGAAGCGGAAGGTGTAGATAAGAAGCCCCGGCACACAGCTGTCCACTCCTAGTGGTCCAAGCCAGCAAAGCAGACCAAGATGGTGGGCAGTTAGGAGCTCAACCAGTCATGTGTAATGAAAAGGAGGCCCCAGAAAAAGTCTTGAGAAGAAGGAGTGTTGTCTTGGGCAGCTGGTGGCCATAAGATCTCAGAGATGAAGACGGAGAGGTGTCCCTCAGATTTGTCATTCATGAAGATCAGGACCCTAGACTCTTCCTGTCCCATCTCCCTCTGCCCCTACAGATCCAGAAGCTCATCAAGGAGCCCGCCCCAGACAGCGGACTGCTGGGCCTCTTCCAAGGTCAGAACCCCCTCCTGCACTGAACTCCAACCCTGCCTTGAGGGAAGACCACCCTCCTGTCGCCCGGACCTCAGTGGAAGCGCGTTCCCCCCATCCCTGGATCCCAAGAGTGGTGCGATCCACCAGGAGTGCCGCCCCCTTGGTGGGGGGAGTAGGTTGCTGCCCTTCCATTGGACAGCTGCTCCCGGAAATGCAAATAAGACTCCTGAAAGCTGGGTGGGAATTGGCTGAGCCGAGGTGGAGGCGGGGCTCGGCCCCGGGCCACTTCACGGAGCGGGAAGGGGAGGGGAAGAAGAGTCTCAAACTGTGGGACACGGACTCGCAGAATAAACATACATGTGGCTGTGGACCAAACCATTCTTGGGTTGGGGGGGATCCCGGGGGCGACTGGGGGCTGCATGAGGGAGAAAGCGGGGTCCCCAGCAGGTGGGGAGGGGGAGGTGCCTCTTCTCGGCTCGAAGCCGGCGCGAGGCAAAGGCGAGCGCTGGCGGCTGACACATCTGCACGGACGCGGCGCATCTGCCCGGAGGAGAACTGAGGCCGGGGTCGCCCCCAGCCGGCGCGCGCACGCCCAGCCCAGCTGCCGGCAGACACGCGCTCCGCCGCTGCCTCCGGCCGCCCCCTACGCCGCCGCCCCCGGCTCCCCAAGGGTCCCGCATCCGGAAAGCGAGGTGAGCGAGACCGCACCCCGGTGCGGGGGGGAAACTGAGGCACGGGGACATGGAGACGGGGAGGAAGGAAGAGACATCCATGTGGATGGGTGGATGGATGGACGGACGGAAGGAAGGGCTGAAAGCTTCAGCCTTGTAGTCCCGGCTCCCCCAGATGCAGGAGTTCCGGGACCCACATGGGGGCTCCCAGAATTCTGCAGATCTGGGAGTTGGAAGTCTGCAGACCCCCAGGGAGAGCTCCCCCGTTCCAGATTTGCAGCCCTTGCCTCTTCCCCAACCTTAGGGACCTGAGAGGCCACCCCTGAGTTCTCAGGGACACCGGCGTCAGAGCTGTCAGCCAGCCCGCCCCGCGTTAGGCAATCCGAGCCCCCACCGCCAACCCTGGGAGCCCAGACCCCTCCCAGAAGGTCCGGTCCCCTGGCCCCCAGCGTCGGAGCGCCCAGCACCCCTCTCCCCAGGGATCTAGGAGGAGCCCCTGGGACCGGGTGGCGGCGCCCCCGGCCCCCGCCTTCCGGATCCAGGTGTCCCCCCTCCTCACCCCCCAAGCCCGAAGCCTCGCGTCTCGGAGGCCCCGCGCGCGTCGCCATGGCAACGAGAGTCTATTTTGCGCTGGGAACACACAGCTCCCGCCGCAGCGCCCCCCCACCCCACCAACCCGGGCCTGAATGGGAGTGGGGGACCCGGGAGGGGGCTCGGGGGTCCGGGTCGGGGGTGAGTGGAGACACAGACAGTCGGACAGAGATCCGACGGCAGCAAACCTGGGACAGGGACAGGGACAGAGACGTGGAGCCAGGGAGGAGAGACAAGCAGAATGTGGAGACAGAGGGGAGACGGAGATCGGGCGGGGGAAGGAGGGAAATGGAGGCGCGCAGGGAACTGAGGCTAGGAGCTGGGGAGAGCCCGGGACAGAGGCGCCGAGACGGAGAGAGACGCGGAGAGAGACGCCGAGATGCGCGGAGACCCGCAGCGAGAGATGAGGGCTGAGACCCCCCTAGAGACAGAGACGGGCGTGGGAGGCGGGGGTCCGGGCGGAGGCGTGGACGGGGCGCCCCGGGACGCGGAGATGCAGAGACCCAGAGACAGGCACGCAGACCCGGCGGCGCAGGGATCTGGGCGGGGGCGCAGGCACCGGCCGCCGCCTGGGCTGCGGGTCGGGGGAGGGTCTTCTTCCTTAGCTTGGTCCCTGCCTTCCCCGCGGCCAGCGAGGCACGGCGCCCCCGCGCAGCCCCCCCAGGGTCTCCCTGCCCCGCCGCCCCCGGCGCCCAGAACTGGGGTCCCCGCGCCCTCCAGCAGGAGCCCGCCCCTTCTCTCTGGGCTTTCCCCACCCGCCCGGGCCCGCCTCTTCTTGAACGCACATCTTTACCCCAAACCCACCTGTCAGCCCCACAGGAGCCCCACCGTTCGCACTCGGACCCCGCGCCCGCCTGGCCCAGCCCCGGCCTCTCTCTCCACACCCACTGAGCCCCTCAGCCCCCCACCCACCCCCTGCGGACCTCACTCCAGCCCAGCTCCCGAGACCCCAGAGGAGCCGACTCTCGGGCGTCTGTCCCCTCTGTAGGTCATGTCGTCCTCTCTCTGGCTCTCTCATCTCAGGGTCAATGACCCCCACTTCTCTAGGACTCTGCATCCCCTCTGAGCATTTGTCTCCCGCCCCCGGTCCGTCTCTTTTGCCTCTTTCTGGGTCTCTGTCCCCCTCTCTTTGGGTCTCTGTCCCCCTCTCTCTGGGTCTCTGTCCCCCTCTCTCTCTGGGTCTCTGTCCTCCTGTCTCTGGGTCTCTGTCCCCGTGTCTCTGGGTCTGTGTCCCCCTCTCTCCCTGGGTCTCTGTCCCCCTGTCTCTGGGTCTCTGTCCCCCTCTCTCTCTGGGTCTCTGACCCCCTCTGGGTCTCTGTCTCCTTCTCTCTGGGTCTCTGTCCCCCTCTCTCTCAGGGTGTCTGTCCCCCTGTCTCTGGGTCTCTGTCCCCCTCTTTCTCTGAGTCTCTGTCCCTCCCCCCTCAGTCTCTGCTCCCTGTCTCTCTAGGTCTCTGCCACCCTCTCTCTCTCTGGGTCTCTATCCCTATCTCTCTCTGGGTCTCTGTCCCCTTGTCTCTCTGGGTCTCTGTCCCCTTCTCTCTTTGGGTCTCTGTCTTATCTTTCTCTAGATCTCTGTCCCCCTCTATCTCTGGGTCTCTGTCCCCTCTCTCTCTGTGTCTCTGTCCCCCGCTCTCTCTCTGGGTCTCTGTCCCCTCTCTCTCTGTGTCTCTGTCCCCTTGTCTCTGGGTTTCTGTCCCCCATCTCTCTGTGTCTCTGTCCCCCTGTCTCTGTCTCTGTCCCCTCCCTCTGGGTCTCTGTCCCCCTGTCTCTGGGTCTGGGTTTCTGTCCCCCACTTCTGTGTCTCCTCTGTCCCCCCTGCCCTCTGTCTCTGTCCCCTCCCCTGGGTCTCTGTCCTCTGTCTCTGGTTCTGTTCCCTCTGTCGTGCTCCTGTCCTCCCTCTGGGTTCTGTCCCCTTGTCTCTGTGTCTCTGTCCCTCTGTCTCCTCTGGGCCTCTGTCCTCTGCCCTCTGCCCTGTCCCCCATATCTCTGTCTCTGTCCCTTTGTCTCTGTGTTCCCACCCCTCCTCTGGGTTCTGTCCTCTGTTCTGGGTCTCTGTTCCCTGTCTCTGTGTTCTGTCCTCCCTCTTGGCCCTCCCCAATACATCCCCATCTGTAAAAGTTCTGTCCCCTTGCTGTCTCTCTGGGCCTCTGTCCCTCTGTCTCTCTGGGTCTCTGTCCCTCATATCTCTCTGTCTCTGTCCCCTTGTCTCTGTGTCTCTGTCCCCCTGTCTCTCTAGTCTCTGTCCCTCTGTCTCTCTGGGCCTCTGTCCCCCTCTCTCTGGCTCTCTGTACCCCCTTCCTTCTCTCTCAAACACACACAATCTGCCCTGCCTCTGGCTCTCTGTCCCCTCTCCCAGGACCTCTGTTTCCCCTTTAGTGTCTCTGTCCCTTTCTCTGAGCTTCTGGAAGCCCTGGCCCCCAGACCGCAGGCAAGAGGGTTGGGAGGGGACGCAGCAGGTGGAGCGTGCAGCACAGAGCTGGGCAGGGGGCTGGTGGGGGTGAGGGAGGAGCTCCCAGAAGCCCAGGGACCCTGCCCCAGGCTGGCTCTCTGGCCTGTGTCCCCACATCTGTGTCTGTCAGGTCCTGAGCTGGGGTGCAGGGGGGCATGGAAGGTGCAGACATGAAGCCTGGGGTCCCGGGCCTTCCCCCTCAGCTGTGGAGGAGGAGAGCGCCGCTGTGTGCGTGAGAGCCGAGGTGGGGGCGGGTGTGGGGCGGAGGTGTCACATGGCTCCTTCCAGACTCTCCATTGCTGGTGAGGGTGTGTTTGCACACGTGTGTGCACCCCTGAGGTTGCATGGCTGTGAGCTGTGATGTGTGTGGTTGTGGACCCACGTGGAGCCAGGTGGGGCAGGTCCCTGGCCCTGTCCCAGAGCTGTAAGTGGTCCGTCCCAGTGCGGAGGGGTCGAAATATGCAGAAGCCCATGTTTGTGTTGTGTGTCCACGTGGAGAGGTGTGTATGTGTGTCCGTGTGCTGGGAGGAGGCCACAGGTGTGCCACCAGGTCCTTTCGTGTTGTGTCTGGGACTGTCTGGGCGCCCTGTGCTCTGTGTCAGCGTGTGCGGCAGTGTGTCTCCGCACAGCTTTGTGTGAGGTCAGGGAATAATTCATCCCGTGTCTGGCCCACGTGGGAGGTGTGTATGTGTGTCCGTGTGCTGGGAGGAGGCCACAGGTGTGCCACCAGGTCCTTTCGTGTTGTGTCTGGGACTGTCTGGGCGCCCTGTGCTCTGTGTCAGCGTGTGCGGCAGTGTGTCTCCGCACAGCTTTGTGTGAGGTCAGGGAATAATTCATCCCGTGTCTGACAGGGCCGCTGTAAGTTCGCAGGTGCACGTCCTCTCCACCTGCCGATAGGTGCTGCCCTGACCAGGAGGGGTAGAGAAGTTGTGTGTGGTGTCTATGTGGTGTGTGGTGTGTGTGTGGGGTATATGGTGTTTGTGTGTGTGGGTGTGTGTGGGTGGTGTATGTGTGTGTGGTGTGTGTGTATGTGTGGTCTGTGTGTCGTGGTGCATGTGGGTGTGTGGTTTGTGCAGTGTGTGTGGTGTGTGTGGAGGTGTGGGTGTGTGTGTATGTGTTGTCTGTGTGGTGTGTGTGGTGTGGTATGTGTGGTGTGTGTGTGGTATGTGTGGTGTGTGCAGTGTGTGCAGTGTGTGTGGTGTGTGAGTGTGGTGTACGTGGTGTGTGTGCAGTGTGTGGGTGGCGCGGTATGTGTGGTGTGCATGGTGTGTGGTGTGTGTGGTGTGTGGTGTGTACAGTGTGTGATGTGGTGTGTGTTTGTGGGGTGTGTGGGGGTATATACGCCTATGGTGTGTGTGTGATGTGTGCATTGTGTGGTGCATGTGTGTGGTGTGTGTGTGGTGTGTGTGTGGTGTGTGTGTGGTGTGTGTTGTATATGTGTGTGGTGTGTGTGTGGTGTGTGTGTGTGTGGTGTGTGGTGTGTGTGGGAGGTGTGTGCGTCATGGTATGTGTTGCGTTGTGTAGTGTGTGTGTGTGGTGCCTGTGTTGTGGTGTGAAATGTTTTTTTTTTGTGTGTGTGTGGTGTGTGGTGTGTGTGTGTGGTGTGTGTATGTGTGGTGTGTGTGTGTGGTCTGTGTGTGGTGTGTGTGTATGTGTGGTCTGTGTGTGGTGTGTGGTGTGTGTGTGGTGTGTATGTGTGGTGTGTGTGTGTGGTCTGTGTGTGGTGTGTGTGTATATGTGGTGTGTGTGTGTGGTGTGTGTGTATATGTGGTGTGTGTGTGGTGTGTGTGTATATGTGGTCTGTGTGGCGTGTGGTGTGTGTGTGGTGTGTGTATATGTGGTCTGTGTGGTGTGTGTGTGTGTGTGTGTGTGTGTGTATATGTGGTGTGTGTGTGGTGTGTGTGTATATGTGGTGTGTGTGTGGTGTGTGTGTATATGTGGTCTGTGTGTGGTGTGGTGTGTGTGTGTGTATATGTGGTCT